TTACGGAAGTTTTTCACTTCTGTCCTTCCTCCAGAAAAGGGCAAGTTATATCTGAGCCATTTGGGGAAAAGAGGGTTTAATAGGTAGCCTCAGAGCTTGTTTGGCACTGATTATAAAGGATTATTGCCATTGTTAAAGTACCTTGAAAAAAAAATGGAAAAATTACTGGGAAAAGAAACAGCAAATTCCATTCTATCAATTTTCATGCCCTGGATGTGCTAGTTCGCATGATCGGGATATCAGTTCCTGCCCTTCCCTCTTCCTGTGCTAGGTGTGATGTCCCAGCCACCAAACATCTGCCCATTTCTTCTTTTAGATAAGTTTGGAACTGCGTTTCAGGAGGCAGCAATAAAAATAGACTTATGAAAAACGCAAGGATATGTCTGAAAATAGCAGTGGCTCGTTTCCTTTCCCCTATAGAAAGAGGTTTGGTCGCAACAGATTTTTCTGGTCAGATCCTCCTTATTAATGACTGCTATTAATCAGCATAATTTTTTTTGCATTGTACTGCATTGCACGATATATTTCATTAGACGTCCCAAATCTGTACGGTGGGCTGCTGGTTTAAATAGTTATGGCCGGTTGTTGAGACCAAGGTTTGAATGAAATTATCCGTCACATGATTTTGGAACATTTGGTATGTAAAAGCACTTTTTTTGTTTTTAACTACTCAAATAATGAAATTGTTGAATTTGGCCACCTCACTGCTAAATTTAGGTCATTTCAAAGAACTAGTTCCGATATAGGCATTTCAGAGACACACACACGGTGTTTTTCCTTTCAATCATGAAAATGTGAACTGTGCATATATTTTCAATTACTTCTTCAGTTCTCTGACCACTGCCAACTTATAAAATGACCTCTTCTCCCAATCCTAATTTTACATAGATCCTTTGGTAAAGTGTTTTGAAATCTTATCAGCGTGGTTGTTGACACTGCCAAACTCTTCATAGTTAAGATAGCATGATGTAACTTTGCTAAGCCTTGCTGACTTTTTTTTTTGACCAAGACCTATCCCTCTGTTACCAGCTTACTCAGAGCAGATATTAAATGGCCTATATTATAATATCCTTATTGGATATGTTTTTTGTTATGATTTTCTGACTGCTTTTTACTACTTTGTTACAGAGGAAAATGTTACAAGTGTATATTTTTGTTAGAAGTTTACCCAATTCACATTCAATTTATTTTAGAACTCTGGTGTGGAGTTTTCAGTCATTTGATCAGTGCAAGGATGAATATCTATGAGAAGCTGAATGGCTTTAAGTTTAACTGTATTTGTATGGAAATACAGTTAAACTTAAAGCCACTCAGCTTCTTTACAATATATTTCTTCTGGAGATATTTTAATTCCTTTGGCATTCAGGGATTGAATATGACAACAGTTGAATTCACCAAATGTGTAAAAATCAAGCACTGATTCCCATATATTATTTTGGCTTGGAGACTTTTGGAGCAAAGAAATAGAGGATAAATCAGATAAATTTCAAATTCAGTTTCTGTCATTATCATCCAAAAAAGACTGGTAGTAGATTACTTTATGAGATATATCTCAATGTGAGCACCTGAAAAATTACTTCCAAATGGACTATATTAAGTTGGTTCAATTCATAATCTTATTCTAATATATTCTCTTGCCTTGACATACTTAATTCAGTTAAAAGTAAAATAGTCATTTGATGCATACATTTAATATTGTGCATGCTATTTAAGCATTTGTGTTGTGTATGCATTTATTAGTGGTGTGGGAAGCAGGGGATTGCTATTCCTGTAGGGCTGCCTATAAAAACTTCCTGTTTGGGATCTTGCAAATTTGCCTTTCTAGTTAATTGTTTCTAGATTGGTTTTGCTTTACAAGGTCACATTGCTGCAGAGCAGAGGTCTCCAACCTTGGCAACTTTAAGACTTGTTGACTTCAACTCCCAGAATTCCCCAGCCAGCCAGGGAGACCCCTGCTCTAGAGAATGCTTTGACTTATTATTTAGGCTCATGCATAAATGCCTACTTACTTGATACTTGAAGGCTTACTGTCCAGTAGTTGAATTGCTGATGGATGTATACTGAATATTTGGGCACTAATTGACTTCCTAAGATCTGCATTTCATGTTACTGACAGAGGAAATTTAGAAATAACCTCACCTTAATGTTTACATGACTGGCTAGAGTTGAATGTCATTATTATTTTATTCCATTTCACTCAGGCTCAATACTGATTGTGATTCCCTAGGTCAGTTTACTGGGGTAGAGGACTGAAAATGTTAAGGATGTAACAAACAGTCTTTCCATAGAATTTAATAACTAAACTGAAAACTAAACTAAAGGATCCATTGCAATCTGAGTGGTCTTTCTAGAGCAGTGATGGCGAACCTTTTAGAGACCGAGTGCCCAAACTGCAACCCAAAACCCACTTATGCATCATCGGGTGCCGGGTGGGCGTGGCCCATTGGGTGGGCGTGGCTGCAGTGGTAACGGCAGACTGGGTGGGACTAAAAGGTTCAATCAATCAATTCCAACTTTGCAAGATCCTTTTTTTCCCCGCGAGAAGTTGAAATTGACTGATTGATTAAACCTTTTTTTTTTTTGTACACGGTGGCAGAGGCCTAAAGTGAAAAGGTTTTATAAAACCCAGCTGAAGGCCTAGGACTGGGGCGACGGCGCGCGTGCCCACAGAGAGGGCTCTGAGTGCCACCTCTGGCACCCGTGCCATAGGTTCGCCACCACTGTTCTAGATTGTCCCTGAGAAGGATTCCTTTTGGTAGAAAGTCTGTTTAATTAGCTCACATGCTGCTTCATTGGGGGGGGGGTGTTGCTGCAAAGGGAGAATCAATGTCGTGTTCAATGAGAATTTATCAATAGTGTTAGTGTGCTTTTGCATTACCTGAACAAATAAGATGTCCCTCTCTCCTTCATGCACTGCTTTACAGTTGTGAGCATATTATTACAGGTAATGAATAAAATACAGGCATTTATTATAACCAGAATTAAATTATTTATCTTTGTGCTGAATTTTTTTTATGATTCGGGCACTGACCCCTTACAACTTTTGTGATGGGGAATGACTTGCTTTCCTACCTGACTACGGACCCCATACAAATAACTTTGTCTAAACTAAGCATCTAATACAGGGGTCCCCAACCCCTGGGTCATGGATCAGTACTGGTCCATGGCCTGTTAGAAACCTGGCCGCTGAAGTGGCAGGTGAGCAAGTGAAGCTTCATCTGAGCATGCACGGGATCTAGGTTGTGTGTGAAACCATCCCACCCCCTGCCCTGATCCATGAAAGGCAGTTTTTCTTCTGAGACTAGTCCCTGGTGGGGGCTGCTGATCTAATACATCATATTAGCTAAAATAATCATTATCTCATTATTAGTCGTGACAGGATTGCCGCCTTAAATGTCCTTATAGAATGACGCCTAAAGCCAGTAGCTTGCAAATAGTTTTTTGTAGCTGTATACATTTTGATCGATACGTTCTGTCAGTCCAGAGATCACAGAACTGCAGGGCAAGCTGGCACCAGTTCAATTTGATTGAATTTCCTTCTCTCTCTGTGTATGATGTGTTTCCAGGGTGTGAGGGCAAACTTTGGTAGGGCTGACTAAAATATGGCAAGTTTCCTGTCGTCATGATTCTCTGCTTCATGTTCCTTTGTGTTGTAATAATTCTATGATGGGGCTCTAGGGGACTGCCCTAACATACTGTCTTTAGAAAGATAAATAAATGGTTCCCTTCACTCAGTGGATTGAAGACCTGTTTACACTTGCTGCTTATGAAGAGATTGTCTATAGATGTAGACTTTGTAAGGATAAATATAATGAAATATAGCAGTGGTGGCGAACTTATGGCACAGGTGCCAGAGGCGGCACTGAGAGCCTTCTCTGTGGGCACGTGTGCCGTTGCCCCAGTCCTAGGCCTTCAGCTGGGTTTTACAAAACCTTTTCACTTTAGACCTCCGCCGCCGTGTACAAAAAAAAAAGGTTCAATCAATCAGTCAATTTCAACTTCTCGCGGGGAAAAAAAAGATCTCGCAAAGTTGGAATTGATTGATTGAACTTTTTAGTCCCACCCAGTCTGCCGTTACCACCGCAGCCACGCCCACCCAATGGGCCACACCCACCCAATGGGCCACACCTACCCGGCACCCGATGATATATAAGTGGATTTTGGGTTGCAGTTTGGGCACTCGGTCTCTAAAAGGTTCGCCATCACTGAAATATAGAATACATTTATACAAAATTCACCAGGTTAAAAAAAAGCATGATAGGTGTATTTTTTTGTACACACACAGGCACAGGCACAGACACACACACACACACACAGTACATAAATATATATAGAATTGCAATTTAACATACTCTACATTTCAATTTTAAAAAAACTTCTATTTTTTCAGTAGTTTTTAAGCACATTACACATTTTTGTTCACCATTTATCCTTTTTTATTGTATATGAGAATAAATCAGATTTATATGAACACTGTAGGTAATTCATAGTGAATGTAAGAATATAATTCCCTCGGAATAACGTAGGAATAAACTAGAATAAAGTTGCAAATCAGTATTTGAAAGAAATATGTTCTCTGTTGGCACAACGTTTTGGCCTATACAACACTTATTTAGATGCTAGCGACTATTAATTTGGTCCCTAGCAGACTACAGAAGATCAACATATTAATTATTGAGGGTAAAATAAAAAAAAGGTAAGTCAATCACACCCACATCTCATTAAAATGGTTTGCTAAAGAATTACCTCTTTCCAGTTTCTCCCGTCTAGCGACAGAACGCGTGTACTTTCCATAGGCTTTCTACTTCTCTCCCAACTGTTTAGCAACTTCTGGTTCTAGAAGAGAATTTTTAGAATTGAAATCTGTGTCTGTTCCATAAAGACTCCGTATCCCTAAAATATTTTCTTCCTTCCTTCCTTTTATTGTAGCACTGTCGCCATGATGGCTTATCTAACCTTGTTAAAGATGGATCGCAGTTACTGATGGGAAGAAGTCCAATATGAGTGGAAATGATACCGGAGGAAGAAGACGCTTTGAAGACACAGAGCACACACTACACATCTACCCTGGGAGCATTGCCGAAGGGACCATTTACTGTCCGGTTATTGCACGGAAAACATCTACCGCTGCCGAGGTGATAGACTCTCTGATTAACAAACTGCAGCTGGACAAAACAAAATGCTACGTCTTGGCCGAAGTGAAGGAATTTGGTGGGGAGGAATGGATCCTCAACCCCACCGACAGCCCTGTCCAGCGCATGATGCTCTGGCCACGGATGGCCCTAGAGAACCGCTTGAGCGGAGAGGACTACCGGTTTCTTCTAAGAGAAAAGAACCTAGACGGGTCGATCCATTACGCCAGTCTCCAGTCCTGGTTGCGGGTCACGGAGGAACGGCGCAGGATGATGGAACGTGGCTTCCTTCCCCAGCCGCAGTACAAGGATTATGACGACTTGTGCGCACTGCCAGACCTGAACGAGAGGACACTCTTGGAAAACCTTAGAAATCGCTTCAAGCAAGAGAAAATCTACACCTACGTGGGAAGCATCTTAATCGTCATTAACCCCTTCAAATTCCTTCCCATTTATAACCCTAAATATGTCAAGATGTACGATAATCATCATCTGGGTAAGCTGGAGCCCCACATCTACGCCGTGGCTGATGTCGCGTATCACGCCATGCTACTGCGGCGGAAGAACCAGTGTATAGTCATTTCTGGAGAAAGCGGGTCTGGCAAAACCCAGAGCACAAATTTCTTGATCCATCACCTCACCGCTCTCAGCCAAAAGGGATTCGCTAGTGGAGTAGAACAAATCATTCTTGGAGCTGGACCAGTGCTGGAGGTAATATTAAAATCATACTGAACAGGTAGTCCTCGACTTACAGCAGTTCATTTAGTGACCCTTCAGCTTATGACCGTTTTTTCACAATGACGACCTTTGCAGCGTCCCCATGATCAGGTGATCAAATTTCAGATGCTTGGCAACTGGTTCATATTTAATGACCGTTGCTATGTCCCAAGGTCATGCGGTCCCCTTTTGCGAAATCAATGGGGAAGCCAGATTCACTTAACAGCCAGGTTGCTGACTTATCAACTGCAGTGATTCACTTAACAACGGTGACAAGAAAGGCTGTAAAATGGGGCAAAACTCACTTAACAAATGTCTCACTTAGCAACAGAAATTTGGGGCTCAATTGTGGTTGTAAGTCGAGGACTACCTGTAGTTTTATGATAAAGCTTTTCTTCTCCCTAATGTGTGTGCTAAAACAATTCTTCTAATAATCAAATCATCATTCTTGTCTTGAAGCAATCGATAAAGCTGTGCAAAGATTTCCTTCCTATTGTAAGGATTCTGCTGGTGAACTACATGTGGAAAACATTAGATTGGAATGTGCTTTAAAAAATACACCAAGAACTGTCATCCTTCTCTTAAATCTTTTCTTTAAAAAAAAATTACGGATTATATTGTACGTTTGTCATCCCGAAGTAAAACATTATTGTTAGAAGGAGGCTTAAATTTAAAATTAGAGGATTTGTCTGAGACTTTTTAGGTGAGAGTGCTAAATATTGTTTGAGATAATTAGGTATTATACTCCATTCTTTGTTGATCTTGATTTTTAAATCTCAAGAATGACAAACCAGAGCTGCTATAAATGGGCTTTTAGTTTTGTTTTTAGTGTTTTTGTATCAGCACAGAACTTTTCTGCTCCCCCCCCCCAAGTTCAAAGGAAGTAAATAGTCTTTATTCATTTGTGGATTTCCCCCCCCCCCCATTTCTTTGAAGTGTCTTTTAAATGCCATCTGCTTCATCTTATGTAAATTGCGAACAACTCTGGTGAAGAACTAGGACACAAATCTAGAATTGTCTGTTTTATGACAGTAATTTAATATAAAATAGAAAACTATCACTTCATACTCATTTAACACATATAAAACAAGCTGATTTAGCCACCCATCTATCAAAGGAAACTGGCATATATGAGTCCCTTGTTCTACGATGAGCCAATGCTAATTTTACCTCTACTAAGCGTAGCAAATCATCCATTGTTAAAAGTTTAAAAAGTGACTTAATATATGAATGAACTATAAGGGGATTATCTAGAATTGCATTTAGGCTTTACTCACCTTCCCAACTGATCATTATATTCCTAGTAATACAAGTAGATTTTATTTCTTTATAAAAATAGCCTGTTCTGCCAACTCAATTTCTGCCACAAGGACAAAGGCACTGCATATACAATATATTGAAGTCATCTGCTAAAATTGCTGATTTTAGCATTAAACATGATCAGAGTAAAAGCTTGATATGGGACAAATTGCTGAGATCCTATATTCATTAACCTCTAAGACAGTGATGGCGAACCTTTTAGAGACCGAGTGCCCCAAAACCGCCCCCCGCCCCCACTCCGCCTCCCACCCTGCCTGCTCCGCCCCTGCCCGCCCCCTGCCCCGCCCGCCCGCAGGGACACGCACCGCCCCCATGGCCCACAGCAGATCACTCAGGTAGCCCTGCAGTGCCATGGCAGCCACGCCCTCCGCCCACACCCCACAGCATTATTGCATGCTATGGGGTGCGAGGGCGGAGTCTTGTCCCTGCTGCTCGGCTATGTCTGTGGCTGCGCTGCTCCGTGCGGGCGCACCCGGGGGTGACTCTCCTCCAGGGGGGCTGCGGGGGAGGCGGGGCTGCAGTGACAGCACGCGTGCCCACAGAGAAGGCTCCGAGTGCCGCCTCTGGCACGCGTGCCATAGGTTGCCACCACTGCTCTAAGACTTTCTTCCAAGGAAAACACTCTGGCTTTCATTGTTACTAACCTCATTTCTAATGACCAAAATTGGATAGGCTTGGGTGGACATCACAGAGAACTTGTTCAGAAAGGAATGAGCAATTTTGCCAAAGAATGGATTTAAGATTAAGAAACTTTGTGAAATCTTTTAATTAACAAATAAACACGTAATATTCCCAAACCGAGTTATTTTCCTATTACAGTTAAAAAATGTGCTCCTTTCGGAAAGCAATCCAAAATCTCAGTGAAATAATACCAATCTTTAAAAGTTCTCACAAACTGCCTCCTATTTCAGGTTCACCAGGAGAATTCCATTGACTGAATTTGCCTTTTCAGAGAACGTTTTTCTTACTTAACATCTCACTTCCTTATACAGCACTGTTTAATTAACTGATCATAACTATTGCAAGGACTGCGATGTTTAGAAAATATCCTTATCTAAAGTGGAGAATAATTCCTTTATGCTTCCTGTCTTCTAAGTCGCCACTAACTATAGTTGACCTTTGTTTTTAGTACACACAAAAGTACCGGGTGGTAAGCAAAGCTGAACGCGCATCCCAGAGGTAGATTGCTTAGTTGCTAAATTTAGTAGGTGGACATCTTTGAATATTAAAAATATGTTCTCCAAAACTTTGTGAGAGGACGTTTCTTGATAGAAGACTAGGTGGGGATGCTGATATAGTTGCCTAATAATAGTTAAAGGAACAGGACCATTAGTTCCTCATCAAGCAGATTTATATCTGTCGAAGGATTAAGAGTGGCAGTGGATAAGAATATCGCATTTAAGGGAGAGATTATTCTGTTTCTTTTACATGATACCTAGTATTTCAAGCTATCCCGGAACTGTAAAGCAAAAGATGACTAGGCAAAGGTTCAAATATTACAAGGCATAGACAGATAGCCCTCCACTTATGACCACAATTGAACCCAACATTTCTCGGGCTAAGTGAGACAGTTAAGTGTGTTTTGCCCCATTTTATGACCTTTCTCGCTACAGACGTGAGGTGAATCACTGCAGTTGTTCAATGAGTAACACAGTTATTAAGTGAATCTGGCTTCCCCATTGATTTGACTGATCAGAAGGCTGCAAAAGAGTGACCCGGGGACATTGCAACTGTCGTAAATATGAGCCAGTTGCCAAGCATCTGGATTTTGATCACGTGACCACAGGGGTGCTACAACGGTCCTAAGCGTGAAAAATGGTCATCAGTCACTTTTTCCTGTGCTGTTGTAACTTTGAACAGTCCCTAAATCAGACATGTCAACCACTAGGCCCGGGGGCCGGATGCAGCCTGCGAAGTGGTTTCATGCGGCCCGCAAAGCCATCCTGGAAACAGTGAGGGAACGGCCCCTGCTGCCTTGGCCCTGGCCCAGGCCAGCTGGGAGCCAATGTACAATTTTGTGGTGGCCATCTATGCTGAAACGCATTCAGTCTTAGCTCCACAAGGCCGTCTGGAAACAGCGAGGAACCAGCCCCTGCCACGTCGGCCCCGCCCCCTGGGTGCATGCTGGGGAGGGGTCACCCTTTGTGAGGAATGAAGAAATGGACCATGCCTTGGCGCTTGCCCCGGTCCCACCCCTTCTGCCAGAGACCCTCAGATCTGTCCCACTCCTGCCCAGACCCCCACAGGCACCCTTGACACAAATGATGTAGAGCTGGCCATGCCCACCCAGTAGGCCACACCCACTCCATCCACGCCCATCCAGTAGGCTGCACCCACACTGGCCACACCCACCAGCCCCCTGAGGGCAACTGCAATGCTGATGCGGCCCTCAATGAAATTGAGTTTGACACCCCTGCCCTAAATGAACGGTTGTAAATTGAGGACTGACCCTGTTCAGGTTTTGAGAAGTTGGGCAATGCTGATGTATGGATTATTGCTTAGTAGTTGTTTTCTTCGTATTACCTGCACAATTAAAAATCTTAGTAGTATTGTCAAGAGGAAAACGTTTCATGCAGATTTCATCATACATTGGAAAGCTCCTTCCCCTTTGTCAGTTTAAAGTCAGCCAAGGTTGCTTACTTTTCCGGTTTTGCCAGCTGCAAGTGAGGGCAAAACCATAGATGTTCTTCCTGATGCTAACTAATCCTGAATCTCAACACTGAGTGCCTTTGCCAGGTATTCGTTACACCCCCCCAAAAAAACATTTTACATTTTCTTACGCTTAGAATCAGCTTAAAGGATAGTTTGGCTTCAGCGTTGTTTTCTTCATATGAACTTTATTCAAGTCAAGTTAACACTTAACATTATTTTCATGCCTTCCTAAATGGAGCACCTCTGGGAAGTCAGTATTTATTGTTGAATTGCCTTGATACTATTTTCCACATATCTTGCATCCAACCAAGTACTAGTTTGCTTTCCAAACCCAGCTTCTATAATTCTTAAGAGGAAAGTATCTCAACTCCCTGTATAGGGAACACATGTCCATTGATTATTGTTTCAGCATGTTGGGGGGGGGGGCGTGTTAGCTGTAACAGTGATATTCATCAAATGACTAGAAGTAGATGTGGATCTTAGACATGTTTGGCCCTCCAAGGGTGCATTGGTCTTAAAAAAGCTTATTTGACTCCAACATCTGCATTTGGTTATCCCCTTCCTGCTCAGCCAGCATAAATGAGAATGAATTTCCCTTTTTTCTACCTCCATTCCAATTCTCTCCCTTTCCCCATCAACAAGTTCCTGTTTGTATCAGCTGTTTTCTCCCCAGATCCATCATCTTCCATGTTGCCATGTACCCTCTGTTTGTCTAGGTCAGGGATAGGCAACCTTGGCTCTTTAATGACTTGTGGACTTCAACTCCCAGAATTCCTGAGCCAGCATGGCTCAGCTTGGAAATCTCTCCCTTTCTCTCAGCACGGCTGGCTCAGGAATTCTGGGAGTTGAAGTCCACGAGTCATAAAAGAGCCAAGGTGGCCTACCCCTGGTCTAGGTTTCTTCCTTATACAGTCTTGTTCTACAGTCTTGTTCTACGGCCCTTATCTTTGCTTCCGTTTGCATGCTCCTTGATCCCTTCACTTGATTCAGAAGGAATCTGGTAGCACTATTTCTGACTAATAACATTTTATTACATAAAAGATGTACACCCTTGTGAGCTGGGGCTACCAGAATAGTTCTGATTTTTTTTTGTCACCATACACTTACACAGCTCTTCTCATACAAGAGTTTGCTTGATTCAATATTTCATGGCTTTTCCATTTGTCTGGGGCTTTGGGGGATTCTTTGAGCCCTCAAAATGGGGTAAAAATGTGGTGTCTGATAGGCGACATCTGTTTCTGTCAATTCTAGCTATTTATGGAGACACGGTGGACTTTCTCCAATATCCTTGCATATTCAGACTGATTAAACCAAATGTCTTTGAATAAGAAACATTAATGCTGGCATGAAACATTGTGCATTCACTGTGACAACTGCTACTTGCAATCTGCCGAAGACAATACCCCACTCTTTTTAGAGGATTTCACTCCATCTCAGCTTGAATTGTTAGGATCAGCAGGTGAAATTACTTGAGGCTGCAGATATTTGTGACAAGAGACAAAGGATTCATTCTTGAATAAAAGAGTATTTAATCTTTAACCACTTTTAACTACTCCTCAGTAGCCAGTGGGGCACAATTGAATATTTGGATTCAGCTAGTTGTATTTCTTCATACTTTATTAATGCAGTTTAATACAGTTTGTGTGTTTGTGACAGTTTTGAGAAATAAAAGGATCCAAAACTGAGTTAGCAGAAAGCACCGTCGGTAATATATAAAAGTAAAAATAGATAATAACTATGGTAAGTAGAAAAATAAAAGATGTACATTGCCTTTCCTTCTAAAAAAAAGAAAGTATTTGAAAAATTGTAACCCTAAATTAGCTTTGTTCATAGTACCTGAGGGAAGTCATCTTCCCCACATCCTTCCTCGCTCCCCAAAATGTAGGGCAAAGAATGCTTTCTGTTCTGTGATTGCTCAGATCAGAGGAACATGGATTTCACCGGTAGCATGCTTCAAATATGGGGATTTTTTTTATTGAAGGAACTTCTCACGGCCCTGTCAACTTTCCCCAGTATGCACAGTCAGTACATACCCATTTTTCAATTTATATTTTTATTTATTTAGTAATTTTTTACCTTTGAGTCAATGTTGACTTCTAGCAGTGCCTACATTAGTATCTATAGTTTTCTTGGCAAGATTTCAGAAGACGTTTGCTATTTCCTGCTTCCTAGGGCTGAGAGAGAATGACTGGCCCAAGGTTACCCAGTTGGCTTAGCGCCTAAGGCGAAACTAGAATTTCCCTTCTCCCAGTTTCAGCCTGATGCCTTAAACCAGGGCTTTTCAACCTTTTCACCCATTGTGCCACTTTTAGGTTATGGCAATATCCGAGTACCATCAGTCGCCTAGCAAGGTGTCAAAAACATGATGACCCAAAAAAAAAAAAGGAAAAAAGTGATAAAGTACAGGTAGTCCTCGACTTACAACAGTTCGCTTAGTGACTGTTCGAAGTTACAATGGCACTGAAAAAAGTGCCTCCCAAGCCACAGCCGAGCAAGACGCCTGTCCGAGGTTTTCATTGTTGTGAGCATTTCTGTTGGGGATTGGCAGTGGGGGTGGGGTGGGGGGTGTTTGGTTTTTATTCCCCCCGTCTGCTGGGTGGTTGCAGCAGGTTTTGGTCACTTCACATGACCCTGGGACACTGTGACCGTCATAAATATGAATCAGTTGCCAAGCATCTGAATGTAAATGACAAGACCCTGGAGATGCTGCAACATTCCAGCTGATCAACGCTTCTTCTGGGCTCAGCAGAAGTACCAGGATCAGTGCCGAGCTCCGGCTGGAGCCTGGCGCTGATCCTGGCGCTTCCACTGAGCCCTGACAGCTCCGAAGAAGTGCCGATCAGCTGGAAAGCGGCACTGATCCTGGCGCTTCCGCTGAGCCCTGACAGCCCTGCAGCTCCAGCCGTCTCTCGCTCAGGCATGTGCGGTGCTGCCACCGGTTCAGCTCATTCCCCTCCCCCATTACCACTTTTCTAGGATGTTCGCGTACCACCTGCCAGGTGCCCATGTACCACAGGGGGTACCCGTACCACTGGTTGAAAAGCCCTGCCTTAAACCACATTTGAAAAATACATTACTCGGGCCTATAATTGAAATCTCTTATTTGGCACCATAACAGATAGGGAGTTTTTTTTTACCTTAAAGAACAACACCAAGAGAGTATGTAACCAGCAATATTTAAAGAAATGGCAAGAGAAAACCTGGAGCAAGCGGCCATTCATTTTAGTTAATCAGTTTTAAATTTAAACAGATAATCAGACACATTGCTTTATTAAGTGTCAAAGCAAAAAAGAATAACAACAGTAACAAGTATAATGTGCCATTTGATTAATTTTCTTTGGAAGGTTTTTAGTCTTTGTAAATATTTAGAAGAATCCTGTCCTAAAACAATCTCCTATTAGTCTTTCAACTCAAGCTATATTTTTTTCTCATAATTATAGAAAACCTGAAGGCATGCCTAGGAACTGCGAGTGATCTTTCAATGCATGTAATTTTCTTAGCCAGCATTGACCTGATTCCCACAGCAAAGTTGATACAACAGTAGAAATATATTGCCTGATGAGCTGCAATTCGGCTAAAGAGTATCCTAAATGTCTCTTTCCTGGTAAAAAAAAATACTGAAGTACCAAGAAAATAGTATCTGTATATTTCTGCTTTCTCCAAACTTGCCTACTGGCAAAGATAATTTAGCACAAAAACTCTTAGGTTTTTCCAGATTCCTTTGAAAGTAGATTCCGTGTCATTAACAGTCGGGGACATTATTAAGGTCTGATTTTGCAGAAAGAGAATGTAATGTTTCTGTTCAAGAAACTATAAGGAAAGCTAGTGCTTTTGAGGTATCTTAAAGTTGATGTATGGCGATTTTTTCCCCCTCAATGTCTAAATTATAAGAATTAATACATATAACATTCCCTCAGATGCCTGCCTGTTATGATAAAATTAATGTCAACAGCATGTAATATTCCAAGAAGTGTATACATCCAAACCATGTGGTGATTTAGTGCTGGGAATGTTGACTACAGCTGTGTTTATGCTCTAGAGTCTCTTTTATGTTATGTTCCAAGCTTGTCGCACATATTTTTGAAGACAAACTTGTTGCTACTTGCTATTTTTTCCCCCATGTTTATAGGGGAATGAAAGAGAAGACATGTATGCTTGCTATTAATAAGCATATTATTTTTACCCAATTAAATTAGATATTTCTTGAATGCCTAATTCAGTTTGGTATTGAATTTGATCATGATTCGTCATCAAATCATCATTGTTAGTGAGGCCTTGCAAATGGCCAGGGGCACTGTTCCATAGGTAACGGGGTATGAGGCGTCGGTTGTGAATAAAATTCATTTTCCTTTGGCTGCACAGCCTTATCCCTCTCCATGCTATTGGGTTGGTGATGATTCTGTCCAGACTTTCTGTGCTTGGAAGACTTCAGCTTGTCTTTTCTGAGGATGGGCCAGCCACAGTTTGTGATTTCCGGGCCACCATAACAGTCAAGGATTCATCCCAGGTCACCATGGGTATAGCACACATCAGACGCTCGCTTTAGACCTGGTTTGTATCTCAAAGCAATTGAGGCCTAGTTTCAGAATGGAGATCTAGCCTTCATTTCTTTTCTTGTGGTCAGATTACAGGTGAACCTTGACTTAACAACAGTGACCGTTCAAAGTTACAATGGCACTGATTAAAGAGACCATTTTTCATAACGACCATTGCAGCATCTCCATGGTCATGTGATCAAAATTCAGAGGCATGGCAACCGACTCGTATTTATGACAATTGCAGAATCCTGTAGTCACCAGTATCCTTTGTGACCTTCTGACAAGCAAAGTCAATGGGGAAGCCAGATTCACTTAACAACCGTGTTACTCACAACAACTGCAGCGATTCACTTAACAACTGTGGCAAGAAAGGTCATAAAATGGGGAAAAACTCACTTAACCACCATCTCACTTAGCAACAGAAACTTTGGGCTCAATTGTAGTGAGGACTATCTGTATTCTCTAGCCTCTACGCAACTGTGTCACTTCCATTCAGCCCAGCTGGCCTTCGCCAGTTGCAGTGCCCTTGAATTGAACTCAGCTCCTGGTAGTAGGATGCACGTAGGAAATGGCAGATCCTCATCTCCGTGTTACCTCTGCAGTGAATTGTTCTGGTAGGTTTTTGACACTTACTTTTCTTATTTTGACAGGCTTTTGGGAATGCCAAGACAGCACACAACAACAATTCAAGTCGCTTTGGCAAATTTATTCAAGTAAATTATCAGGAGACTGGCACTGTGCGTGGGTAAGTGGCAATGAGCAGTGACTAAAGAGCTTTAGGCATGAATGGCGTGCAGCTGTTAGTAGTTTTATATGCATGCTTAGAATGTAAAACATCCTGTGTCAATCTGGGCTGTAGCTGCTTGTCTGGGAAAGATGTGGGCATGTCATGTAGGAGAAATAATTGGCTTGATATAGGTATCTTTTGTTAAGGAAAGTAACTTCCTACATTCTTTTCATTACAACTTTTCAGTTTAATCACAAGGGAAATGGAAAAATTTCTGAAATATGTATTTTTAATGAATTGATATAATAAATTCTTAAGAAACTCTACTCTCCACAGATATTTTTCTCTGGAATTCTTTGGCTCTGGTTTGAATAGTACACATCATTCACAGCTATTTGAATCTGAAAAACAAACGGTTTTTTCAAGACAGTTACAGTGTTAGGAAAGCAAATGAAGGGCCCCTAAATTAAGCTACTGTACCTTCAGATCAGAAAATAAGCTGTTGATCCCACTAATGCTGTATTAATTAGCAGCTTGAGTCTAAGTTTTTAAAATGGGAAGTAGAAGAAAATATTATGTTCAATTATATGAAGGACCAGCACAAAAATTGATGGTTGTCTGACAATCTTTTGGAGTTAAAGTACATTAAAGCAGAAAAACGTCTGAAACAGTGGAACTCATTCTGTGATATTACTTTGTAAAATATTTGGGATTGCAGAATTTCCAGGTTTTGAAAGGCCAGTCTGATCATTGTGCTATATTTTGAGCCATTTAGATAGAATCTTCCAATTCCATTATTGGCTTGGTAAAAATTCTACTCTTCTGAATAAAGAAATAGAGCCAGACATTTTTTCCCCTTTGTTCTCTGCTTCAGTTTCTTTAAATCGATTGCTTTTCCTTGTCAAAAACAAGGAAACAAAACTTGTAGCTTACCTGGCCAGTACACTGTCATAGTTCCAGTTTTTATGTAGTCTGTTATCTTCCTGGAGTTTGAAGAGCAAGCAGGATGTAAAAATCCTGTTTTCATTGTTGACGGCTACACCTTGGGGTTTTTTCCTGCGGTCACATTTAGGATTAATACATGTGAACAATATTGGGCCCCCAGGTGAATCAGTCAGAAGATATCAAGACATGTACTTTTCTATAAACGTTTTGGCCTAGTTGTTCAACTGAGATGCCAAGAATAGCAGTAGTACCTTGATTTTGGCTCTGAGGAAGTTATATTCATCTGACCTTTTGTTTCACACAGACTATTCATGAATATTGCTATGGTGTTGCAACCCTTAGATAAATAAAAACCTGTTAAAAAAATTATCTCCGTTATTGAAGGATGTTTTGGGCATTCGTGACACTTCTGCTTTCACAGTGCCTTAGCAAATTGCTTTTCATTTTCTTTTATCTGTTAAATACCTTTGATGGCATCCATTCAGTGGATAGTGCTACAGGTTGGTCAGCGAAGTTAGGGTAAAGGAGATATATAATTCAGTTTTGTCATGCATGTCTTCTGGGTATTTATGTTAAAAATCATATCCCATCATTTCCATTACTTGAGTACCATTTAGAAAGTGTACCCTTTAAAAAAATAATAGCTTCAGGATGGATGCAATACTGTAATACTGATATGGGCAGACTACATCACCATGATGTAGTGACTCATCAGTTCACCATATTTTGCAGCACAATTCAAATGAAGCCCAAATTTTGCAGTATTTATATTTATATATTTATATTTCTTATGGGAAATGGAAAATGCTACCAAGAAAGAAAGTGAAGAAGATGGATTCAGCTTATGTACAGAATTATTTCATCCCTTGTATGAATTAGGGCTCCCCCACCCCATACAATATTTTTTCCCATACAATGCTCTGCCATTTATTTTTCTTCTAGAGCTTACGTTGAAAAGTATCTACTAGAAAAGTCCAGACTAGTCTATCAGGAACATAATGAAAGGTGAGTAACGAATGAAATAACACATATAAACTACTGGAACAAATAAAGGAAGATAAATCAAAACAACTATTAGAATTTCAGAGTATAATTATTTCACTGGGTTATAAATTGTGCCTGCCTTTCACATTTTGGAAGAGATGGTTCTCATCCAAAATATGAAATGACATACTTATTACTGACTAATTCATTTCCCAGCTTTGAGGGCTTGTTGTTACAATCCTGTTTTTATCTTCTTGGTAATTAGTAGCTAGTAATATAGGGTCCTATGAAATTCCTGGGCTCCTAGAAATCTATCTCCAGAAATTAATAAACAAGGATTGTAGGTTAAGAGCAGTTGCTCACGCAAACAGTCCAGTTTCTTGCTCAGAAATTACATTGTCCTTCTTAATGGATTGCACACCCTTCAGCGTGCAAGGAAGTAAGGGGAAAGCATGCTCCATGGTAGTTTATTAGCCCTGCGCTCCAGTTTAGATTGTACTTGCTTGTTACATGGAGACAGGAAAAAGAACAGTGGGTTATTTCCTCCCCATGCCCCCTCCAGCAATTTGTGTAAGATGGAACTTTATGTGTGTGTGTGGGGGTGTGTGTGTTATTTTCAGCATATATCTTCTACCGTATTGAAAACTGAAAAATGATATACCGGCCTCCCCCCAAAAGATAAATCAGATTTATGTTACAAGTCAGAAAGAAGTAAGAACCCTGCTTAATACATCTGTGTATACATCTTTCAGTAAAGAATCCTGGAGCACTTTTTTCCTATTTTGGTAGTTTATTTGTGCTCTGTTTTTGTACACAGGAAATCCTCGATTTAATGACCGCAATTGAGCCCCAAATTTCGGTTGCTAAGTGAGACATTTGTTAAGTGAATTTCGACCCATTTTACAACCTTTCTTGCCCCCGTTGTTAAGTGAATCGCTGCAGTTGTTAAGTGAAACTGGCTTCCCCATTGACTTTGCTTGTCAGAAGGTCGCAAAAGGGGATGACATCATAAATACGAACCAGTTGCCAAGCCTCATCATTTTGATCACGTGACCCTGCAACAGTCATAAGTGTGAAAAACTGTCCCAAGTCACTTTTTTTCAGTGCCGTTGTAACTTCAAATGGTCACTAAGCAAACTGTTGTAAGTCAAGAACAACCTTGGATTTAGAAAAAGCAAGGACTAGCTAGTACAGTGGTGGCAAACCTATGGCACAGGTGCCAGAGGCGGCACTCAGAGCCCTCTCTGGGGGCACGCGCGCCGTCGCCCCAGTCCTAGGCCGTCAGCTGGGTTTTATAAAACCTTTTCGCTTTAGGCCTCCACTGCCGTGTGCAAAAAAAAAAAAAAGGTTCAATCAATCAGTCAATTTCAACTTCTCGCTGGGAAAAAAATCTTGCAAAGTTGGAATTGATTGATTGAACTTTTTAGTCCCACCCACTCTGCCATTACCACTGCAGCCACACCCAGCCAATGGGCCACGCCCACCCGGCACCCGACGATGCATAAGTGGGTTTTGGGTTGCAGTTTGGGCACTCGGTCTCTAAAAGGTTCGCCATCACTGAGCTAGTACTAGATTTAGGTTTTACATTTTCAGCCACGAGTTCCAGCACTACAAAGTACTCTGTGCTGTTGATTCATCACCCTTTTTTTGTAGTTTCTTCCTGATACGCCAGTAATTTGTATACTTCCCACTGTTGCCCATCCTATTACTCATTTTTTACTGTAATGCATTTTTTTTTACTTGTTATCAGGAACTACCATGTATTTTATTACCTGCTGGCGGGAGCAAGCGAAGAAGAAAAATCTGCTTTTCACCTTAAACAGCCTGATGAATATCACTACCTTAATCAGGTGGGAATAGACTAGCAGCTTTGCCTCCGGTACATGGGTTTTACTTCAGAGTGATGGGCTATTCTCACAATGCTCTTTTAAAACTATTGTTCATGTCATCTGCTCAGAAATTTTATGACATAAGCAACTGATCGTTACAATAGTGAACTATAGGTAAATAAAAGATTTTGGATCAGAGCTTTTCAAAAGAATATATAATTTTCCAAGCGACTTTCATATTAACAGCTAATAGTAGTTTATTATTTTATTTTCACAATTTGCACATCTTAAACAACTTGCATGTTTTCCTAATTCTTTTGTTTGGTAGCATGACATTTTAATATCTTTACAAATAATCCCAACTGCCTGTAAATAATTGAAATTATGGAGATACTGCATCTTATACTAACATTTCACACCGTTTATATAACTTGTTTTCTTGAGTACCCAAGGGTTTTGAATGCGATAAAACCGAGAGGAAAGAACAGTTAAGGTGGTAAAATGCTATCCCATTAGAATTACGTAACATAATTAAATACAATACTTTTAAGATTGAATCCTAAATTACTTTCCTTCCACTATCCAAATGGTACAAAACACAGCAGGTTTTTCAGTATAAGATAATGTGAGATTAGTGTTAATGATTCCTCTCTCTGTTTGTGTACTCATTGCTTCAGTAGGAAACGGGCGGAGAAATCATAAATAGAGCTCTAGGCAGCTTAATAGTGATTGAATTATCACTGAAGGAGTGATATAGGTAAATTTTAAAAAGTAGAACTTTTAAGTTTTGTTTTGATTCCCTATTTTAAAAGATTCCTAGGATGGATACCCAGAGAATCTGGCAATCAATCATACCCAACCTCTATATCATTAGTTTTATAAAATGAATTGTAATTTTAGATTTCAGTTTTACCCAAATGACTTCTATTTTACCCAAATGACTTCATAATAATAAATATTTGAGAACCTTTGTTGAAAAACTACTTTTTAACAAGATGGGAATCTTAATGTTAATTCAGATTGTAAAATCATTAAATATTGCAGATTGTTTTAACATTGGAAATTAATCAGGCCAGTGCTGGTAATTTGGTAGAGCGCATAGAAGGCTCTGCTTGGTCTTGGAATAACTTATTCAGTTATTTATTTTGCAGTATTTGTACATCATCCCAATCAGACACTTATCTACCACTTCCCCAGTGCTACATTAAAAAGGTGGAAAGATAGGTGATCTACCTTACATAAATGTTTGGGTGGGGAATAAATATATATAAGATGGAGCATTCTTAAAAGATGCAGAAATGCCAAAGCATTCTACAGTATCCTCCAGTTTAATTATAAAATGAAAAGGCTTTTCAGTAACATGATAAAACTGTGTGGAGTACGCTTTCTCAAAGCAAGGTGAACAGTACAGTAACACAGAAGAACGTTATGACGCCTTTCTGCAGTGGGAAAGCCTGACATTTAATGCTTACAGACACAGAAGACAAGTAGAAAGAGATTGTTGTGTGGGATTTGCAATGCTACTTACCCAATCTGCCTTGCTTTCAGATGACAAAGAGATCCCCTAAACAGAGCTGGGATGACTATTACTATGACTCTGAGCCGGTCAGTACAAGTCCATCCATCCATCCATTCTGGGTTACTGGTGACAGATGCAAAGCAAATGCAGAATTAGTTACTTTTTTAATTAACAGCTGTTGGCCTCAACATCTCTTAAGTAGTTTTGGGGGGTCATTTTTGTGTAGTTATCTTTTTTAAAAATGGGATGGTATTCTTATCATGCCCTAGGATGGGGCAAATAGAATTGATTATAACATTTTCCTTGGTTCTGTTTTTCAAAATACAGACCAATAAGCTTTGTCCAGAATAATTTTTCAAGATAATATTTGATATAATATATTCTCTAGAGAGAAATGCATTGATTTTAAAATCCATGATACTTCTTGAACCGTATCTGATTTCAGTGACCTGGTTCACCTGAGTTTTGTTTTGTTCTTGGTTTAGCAGGATGTGCAAATCCATCCATTATGTCTGATCCTGATGAGTAAACCAGGTCACTTTGGCACTATCTTCAGTTAATTGTGGCTTAGAAAACCCTAATTATGATGTAAATGCAGCTATAGATACTTCAGTAGAATAGAGTTCCCTTCTACAGTAAAATGTATTTAATTTTAGGTCCAGGGTTATATTTTATTTCATTTATGTATGAAATCAATTTGTATGACTGTCCATCTCATAATAGTGAATGTGGATGGCCAGCATAGAATTATAACTCAATATTTTAAAAAGTAATAACAGCCTTGGAAACAACTCCTAGAGGCCTCTCCAAGTTGTAAGCAAAGTGAAAGGAAAAAACGATTACCTAACTGGAGAATAATGGTTTTAATTCCTTTTAATTTGCATTAACTGTGCTCTGATCTTTTAATATTTTTATAATTCCCATTTTATTTCCAAAAGCATGTTTATTCTAATTGCATGTCAACAATTCTAACTTGTTTACAAATAAGACGTAATGAAATAATGTTTTATTTCATTTTTATTGAGAATTATTTTTCCATTTCCATTTTATTATTTTTAAACTAGTGCTAGACGGGTCAATAAAATACTTGTTTTTAAATCAGCAGAAGCAAATGGTTCACTGCAAAGTTTTCAATTAGCTCGACTCTCTGGAACTGAGTTGGATTTATTGCGGGAAACTAAATACGTGAAATTATTTTTTCAGGTAGTCCAGCTGATAGTGAATATTGCTCAGTTAAGCAGAGTGATATTGGAATAAGTCTGTCCTATATTGTTGAAGCCTTAGAAAGCCTTTTTCTGTCTCTGAAACTTGGGATTCCTGGAAATTAAAATGGATACCCTTAAAGTATTAATCAGCACAATGGTAGTAGTAAATGCTCTTCTTATCCTTGACCTATTTTGAGTTTTTCTATTAAAATACAAAGTTTTTGCCTGCTTTGTATTCTAGACTCTAGTTCTCATTTTTTTCTCTTCTACCTGTTCTGTCTACCTATTGCTCCAGGATTTAACTACCAACTTTGCTTGGTATTTTATTCATGGTTTCTTTTTGCTCTTGGTGACCTCTTTGTTCCTTTTCTCCTCGAATATCAGTTTGATTTACATCCTTGCCAGATAAAATAGGGACTCCTGTACTCAGACCCTCTTTCTAAATAAAAGTTCAATCTTTTGCGGTCTTCTGCAATAGTTTTACCAAACCTCACAGAACAGATTTTATAAAACCAAAAAAATCTGTCCCAGTGTCCATACAGCAACATCACCAATGAATTAAACATGTCTTGAGAAACAGCAGAGAATAGAATGAAGTCTCTTATCTCATGCCCCAGTTAGCTCCATGTATCTATTAATTCTGAGTAGAAAGGTATAAATAATATAAATAGAAATTCTCTCTGATACTTACACGTAATTTTATTTTTGAAAATGGAATGCAGTGCTAGGGTGGAGGTTTGAGTGTTGCATGGACTCTGAAATAGTTCAGCTTTGTTTTAAAAAACATTTTGCAGATTCTTCAAATAACTGTTGGTGTTCAAGCCCACTCCGTTGAATTAGAGGTTATATAATATAATGTCTACTCTCGAATGATTAAAAAATACTGTAAAGTATGCTGCCTGTAACTCTATAGGTTGAAGCTTTGCAGTGATTGGTAAATCCAGACTGTATAATCCAGTGATGGCGAACCTTTTAGAGACCGAGTGCCCAAACTGCAACCCAAAACCCACTTATTTATTGCAAAGTGCCAGGACCGCATCAGCATTGTGATGCCCTCGGGGGGGGCAGGGAGGCACCTCTGAGTGTCGATTCTGGCACGCAAAAACCAGGGGCACAAAAATGGGCCACCGTGCTGCAAGGCGTAAAAATGGCCACTGCCACGCCCTGTAGGTGCTGCACCACATAAGAACGGGGCCGGGCTAGTGAGTGTCACGCAGGCACTAGCCCCGCCCCATTTGCAGCGTGTTCGCGGCCGCGTGCACGCATGTAAAATGCTTCCCCCTCCCTTTTCTTCCAGTCCACCAATCGACAATGGTTGGTGACCTCTGCTCCACCATCTCTACTCGAGCTTGCTAGTCGGCCGCTTCACCTCCTTTGTGCTGGTCGGGGCAGGGACAACCTGATGGATCTGCTGCTGGCAGCAGTGCCACATGTGCCAACAGAGAGGGCTCTGAGTGCCGCCTCTGGCACGCGTGCCATAGGTTCGCCACCACTGGTATAATCCCAAGGACAAACATCTTGCATAATTCACAAGACAGTTGAAAGGCAAAGGATATTTAGAGATTGTCTTCTCCATTGGTTTTTTACTACAGTGCACTTAGCCTATGTACATACTGTGTTTATTGTTCCACGTGGACAAACTGAACACAGTAATTCTTATCAAGTTGGAAGGCACCTAGGAAGAAGCACGAGTTTTTCTTTTTCTTCTTTTAGATCTCCTCCTACTCCTTTCAGAAGTGGTCCTGTCCCAGCATGTGTTTTCCCTAAAGTTATCTTAGGAATCCTTTATTCAGCTGGCAATTCCTCTGCTACTTATTTAGAACTAAATTTCTTTCTTACGTTACACGACAATTGTGAAGCCTGGTATGGAGAATGGACTTCAGTACAGTTGGAGGATTATTCTAATCCCAAATCTGCTCACCATCCAGTGTTGTACAGATTATCCCGTGTTGTGCAGATTGAAGTTTATATTGCATTGTTCATATTTTTATAACTTTGGGACGCCTGTTTTCCCCCCCCCTAATAATTGTTCCTTGTATTGGACGCGCTAGGATTGCTTCTCTGTTGAAGGTGAAGACTTGAAGCATGATTTTGAACGCTTGCAGCTGGCTATGGAGATGGTGGGGTTTCTCCCCAAAACCCGCAGGCAGTAAGTTATTTCTCTTTAGAAGGTGATTGTGAGTTGACCTTTTAAGAGTTACTGTGCCTGACATTGTGTCTGTTAGTAAAAAATATTAACCATTTTTACCTTATTAAATCATGGATGGCATTTTCTAATTATTCCCAAATTATGGAAAAGCAGGAAAATCTGCCTTGCATATGTATTTATCCAACATAATAATAATAATAATAATAATAATAATAATAATAATAATAATAATAATAATAATAATAATAATAATAATAATAATAATAATAATAATAATAATGCTGGAAGGGACCTTGGAGGTCATCGAGTCCAACCCCCTGCTCAGGCAGGAAACCCTACACCATTTCGGACAAATGGCTGTCCAGTCTCTTCTTAAAAACTTCCAGTGTTGGAGCATTCACCACTTCTGGAGGCAGGTTGTTCCACTGATTAATTGTTCTAACGGTCAGGAAGTTTCTCCTCAGTTCTAGGTTGCTTCTCTCCTTGATTAGTTTCCACCCGTTGCTTCTTGTCCTGCCTTCAGGCGCTTTGGAAAATAGCTTGACTCCCTCTTCTTTGTGGCAGCCCCTGAGATACTGGAACACTGCTATCATGTCCCCCCTCGTCCTTCTCTTCATTAAACTAGTCATACCCAATTCCAGCAACCGTTCCTTATATGCTTTGGCCTTCAGTCCCCTAATCATCTTTGTTGCTCTTCTCTGTACTCTTTCTAGAGTCTCAGCATCTTTTTTACATCATGATGACCAAAACTGGATGCAGTATGTTTATATGTGATTTAAGGAAACATACATATACCACCTTAAATATACCACAAACAGCCACTTCATGTAATAACATTTTTGGTGAACTTAGTTTAATTTAGTTTCTTTCATTTATTGTTTCTGTTTTGCACCCTTAGGATATTTTCCCTTCTGTCAGCAATACTACACTTGGGTAACATCCGTTACAAGAAAAAAACCTACCGAGATGATTCCATAGATATCTGTAATCCAGAAGTCTTGCCTATTGTCTCAGAGTTACTTGAGGTAAGATACCACGTTTGGACATAAGCCTTCCACTTTTTCTTCTCCTCCGTATTCTTCTATTTCTACATAATACATAAAGATAAATGTGAAGTATATTAGTTTCTGGAATAAGATAAGTGAGGTTAAATGCTCCTCTATAAAATAATACCTCCAATTTATCCACGTTTACTTAATAGGACTTTTCACTGAAATTATTGGAACAACTTTTAATAAGCAGACATTTGCAAAATATATCTCGTGTGATGGCCATCTATTTCAGTGTTATTTAAAGTGCTTGTTTAAAATCAGAAATCTTTCCCCGTCATCTGGCATCAGAAGCCAGTTAATTGGTTGATCTTGAACTTACTTTATAGCATCTTCTTTGTCACTCAAGTCTTTTACTACAGATGGCTTATTAAGATATTCATGGCTTGAGCTAGCTAAAAAAAATCTCTTTGCTGTAAAATATGCAATCATTTAAAGTACTGTGTGTTCATAGTTGCCTTTTTGAAAAAGAACTCAAGGTCGGAGGTTCACAAAATCTTCTAATCTGAGCCAGCTTGAAGCTGGAACAAAACTGCAATAATGAGAGGCAGGCCAAGGATTCCTTGAGATTGCTATTTTGCATTTTATTTTACTAGCCAGAGAGTGTTGTAGGAAAGCAATGTTTAATAAATGCTGTCTTTTTACAGATACAGTGTTAGAGGAATGTGAATTTGTGTCCAACTGGAATGAAATCCTTTCACTGAATCATAACTCACAAGGGAGTTTCACCTCTCCAAATATACAGTCTGCTCAATTTTTTCTGCCACAGATTTAAGTGTATTTTTTTTAATATGTACCAGTAGTTTCATAGCAAGAGACAGCTGCTTTTTCTGTTTTGGAGGTGGCCCACCTATCTGAAACCTTGTGCCTTTGTCTTTTGAAGAGGCAAAGTCGCTCCGGTGGGTCTGATGGGTGCCAGTGGATTCCATTAGCATTGCTGACAACTTGGCCCCAATGTTGTCTCTAGAACAGCTGTTGCCTTGTTTGTGGCACTACCGTTTTTTCTGCTGTCCACAAGTTAGCTCTCCGCCTCCATCAGTTCCTCCAGAGAAGATGAAATTGTTAGACATGGCTTTATGTAAGAGTGTGTAGAAAGCACACCACACTGTTTCTTCCTCTAGTCTCACTTAAGATGTGCCATTTCTAAATTCATGAAGGTCATTTGTTGTTGTTGTTAATTGCGAAGTCATGCCCGACCTATCGCGACCCCATGGACAACGTTCCTCCAGGCCTTCCTGTCCTCTACCATCTTCTGGAGTCCATTTAAGTTCACGCCTACTGCTTCAGTGACTCCATCCATCCACCTCATTCTCTGTGGTCCCCTTCTTCTCTTGCCCTCAGTCTTTCCCAGCATTAGGCCCTTCTCCAGTGAGTCCTTCCTTCTCATTAGGTGGCCAAAGTACTTGAGTTTCATGAGGATCATTAGCAACATTGATTAAAAAATAGGACCTTTTAATACACAGGTTAGTATTCACAAGTAACTATAGAGCATCATGTTGTGTAAAGGCCTTCTGATAGTGAAACTGTACGAGTAGTCCTCAAATTCCTTATAAAAAAAATTACTTATTTCCAAAACTTGAAAGCTAGTATGATTATAAAATTACGACTTTTTCTAGGTGAAAGAAGAAATGTTGCTTGAAGCACTGATTACAAGAAAAACAGTGACTGTAGGAGAAAAGCTTGTATTGCCATACAAACTGGCAGAGGTACGTATAGCAGTCATCTGAAACGTGGAAAATTTCATGAGATCGTTTTTGTTTTTGTTTTTGTTTTAGAAATGGCTGCATATTCTTGCAGGAAAAGATTGATAAACCGTCCATTAAATAGTCAAGCCCTCGACCTGATTAAACCTGAATATTTAAATCATGTGATTAAGCTGCATTATTTTATTTTGCAGTGTTTCAAGAATGGCCTTAAATTGAACAGGCCTTAAGTTCAATGTGTTAATTTTCCTCTAGTATGTTGAAGAGTCATGTCAGTCATAGCAGAAAGTCAACCTCTTTTAATAACATCTCGTCATCAGAAATAGAACAGTAATGTTAATTAAATCATCATGTGACATTCTGACACGTAATTTGATACTGTAATACAAATGACATTTAATTTTTGTGAGCTAAAAGATGTAGTAGAAATAGGCAAATAAGCCTTTGATTGAACCGGATGGAGTTACAGTTGAACTAGATAGAAGCAAACAACGAAGTAGTGCTTTATTTCCCCTGCTTTAATTACTGCCTTCTGCTTGTGTCTTTTTTCATGTTTGTGAAACACATGTTCTGCTTGATATTGCTGGAATTGTAGTTCAGCAACATCTGGTAGTCATGGAGTCCTTGTTCTTGTTGTATGATGCTTATACTGAGTTTTTGTAAATGGCTCAGAGCTTATGGAAATTGAGTGGCATAGGCCTTTTAGTAAATAAATAATACTGCCAGAGAACCTAATGATGTGCAGGTCTTTCAGTTCGTTCATATTTTGTGTATGAATTTTAACTCTTCATTGGATAAGTCATGCATCCAGATCTACACCAGTTAACAGCTCTTATCCTGAGATGTTCCAGACAAGCTTCCAGGAAAATATTTTTCTGATATTGATTGGTTGGTACAATAGGGAATAGTCCCCCTAAACTGCACTTGTGATGACCTAAGTCGTTGCTTTAGAATTTATAAAATATCTCCTGTCTTTTCTGGGTCCTAGCTCAGGGCTGAATGGTGTGCATCTCCTCCCAGCCCCAACCAATATAATAATAATAATAATAATAATAATAATAATAATAATAATAATAATAATAATACAAAGACCTACAAATAGAAATAGAAAGACTGTGGCAAAAGCAAGCAAGGGTAGTACCAATAGTAATAGGTGCCTTGGGTGCAATCCCAAAACAACTGGAGCACCACTTGAACACCATCATCGGCATTGACAAATTCACCATTAGTCAATTGCAAAAGGCGGCCTTACTAGGAACTGCTTCCATCCTGCAACGATATCTGTAATACCATCAAACATCCACATCTGCCTATCCCAGGTCTTTGGTAAGGACTCGATAGGTAGACAAAAATGCCAAATCCAGTCTGAACATCTGGTTGACTGTGTGATGATCAATAATGATGATGATGATGTTGGAAGAGACCTTGGAGGTCATCTAGTCCAACCCCCTGCTCAGGCAGGAAACCCTGCATCATTTCAGACAAATGCTGTCCAGTCTCTTCTTAAAAACTTCCAGTGTTGGAGCATTCGCAGCTTCTGGAGGCAGGTTGTTCCACTGGTTAATTGTTCTAACTGTCAGGAAGTTTCTCCTTAGTTCTAGTTGCTTCTCTTCTTGATCAGTTTCCATCCGTTGCTTCTTGTCCTGCCTTCAGGGGTTTTGAGAATAGCTTGACTCCCTCTTCTTTGTGGCAGCCCCTGAGATACTGGAAGACTGCTATCATGTCACCCCTGGTCCTTCTCTTCATTAAAATGCCCAGAAGTGAAATACTTTGGTTTACAAAAACATTTAGGAAGGCACATTCTACCTGCGATCGCACTGCACGCGTTACATTCGTTCAGTTGACTTAGTGTTTTACAACATAAGTCATTCTGGAATTTATCAAACCAATAAATGTGCTAAATGAGAACATGTACTTTTCCTAGCAGATGGGACTCCATGAACAGTTGTATAGATGAGCTGTTCTTGACCAAAAATGGACTTCTGGAATGAAAATCTGGTTGAAGACATTACGATACAATGCTCTCCTTGAAATAAGATTCGAGGGGGGAGAATTGAATCAGCAAAAACGTAAAATAATATACAGACTCCGTCTTCTAAGATTAAAAAATGTTCCTGTCTGCACAGAAGCAAATGGTTTTGCAAATGGCTATGTTAATAAACAGAACTGTATTAAGACATATTTGAGGTTGAAAAATGGTCATGATTCTTGAATATCATTTATGAGTCACCCTGGAGTGGTTTTTGCATGTAGTGGTCTTGGCCACTGCATTAGCAGCACATGTAAGAAATGACATCAGTGTAGGAAATAGAAGAAATGTCAGAGAAGAAGAAACCGGAGGGAAGAGAAGACAGTATGGCAACCATCTGTTCCTTTTTTTTAAAAAAAATCTGTTTATATTTTTAAGTGCTCATTCAACAGTATAGATCAGGGGTAGGCAACCTTGGCTCTTTTATGACTCGTGGACTTCAACTCCCAGAATTCCTGAGCCAACATGGCTCAGCTTGGAAACTCTCCCTTTCCCCTCAGCATGGCTGGCTCAGGAATTCTGGGAGTGGAAGTCCACGAGTCATAAAAGAGCCAAGGTTGCCTACCCCTGGTATAGATAAACCACTCTGTTAGGGTAAGGCTGATTTTAGTTGCCTACATATTTTCTGCAAGCTGCAGGAAAACATGACATTTTTGGCAGCTACAAGAAAATAAAATGGAGGGAAAGCACCACATTCCATTAACTGGCAGAGCCAAATTATAGAAAATTATTCTCTAGATTTGCAAAAGGCTCTGTTCCTGTTTTTATTTCCTTGCTTGTCAATATAGCTGTGTGGGTTCACGTATGATTGACGGAGAACAAGTTGTTCTAACTTCAAGAATTCAAAACCTGAGACTGCCTTCTCTAAGGAAATGCAGGCAACAGTTAAGATAGTTACTAAGTGATTTTTGACACATTCCAGTTTTTCAAGCAGAAGGATGTTTACAGCAAAGCAGATGCAGAAAAACCAGGGCAATTTTAACTATGGATTTTTATAGTGTTGGTAGTAGTAAGGACTTTCTGTGTAATTTCCTTAGCTTATTGCTTTCAAGAGGTTGTTTTTGTCACCATGCCGTAGCTTCCTTCGTTAAGCACACTGTCCGTTAGCGTGCGCACTCTGATGAACTGGGCCGCCATGTAGGACATTTGAAAGATTTCTCTGTTGGTGCAAAAACCCTGAATTCATCACGTTGTAGTGTATCTTTAGCTGCTCGGAATCACTTTGTTTTAGATAGATTGAAGGTTTAAAGGTTGTGTTCTATATCACAACTTAAGCAGCATCCATCAGAAGCAGCATTTATATTGTCTTTCATCACAGTGAGAACTCAGTTCTGAAATCTGTTATTGTTAAAATGAGAGATACCTGAGCTCTTTCCCTTCAGAAAATGGAAAACCATGAAGAAAGAGAAGGCACAGATTTGATCTTTTCTTCTGCAGCATGGAAACTAAATTTTGCTAATAATATCTACCTACTTTCTATTTTCCTCCCACCTGAATATGTTTGTTCCACTTCAGAGAGACTGTGTTGACTTAGTTTTCAAATATCATTCAAGCATAAAGTGAAACTGTATGAGCTTACAGCAGGGGTAGGCAACCTTGGCTCTTTTATGACTCGTGGACTTCAACTCCCAGAATTCCTGAGCCAACCATGGCTGGCTCAGGAATTCTGGGAGTTGAAGTCCACGAGTCATAAAAGAGCCAAAGTTGCCTACCCCTGGCTTACAGCAATATACATGCGTAGTCATAGAACTGTGAAGCTGAAGTGCAGAACTCAGCCTTGGCTCCCTTGAAATTTTTGGAGAAGTACAATTATCTGTGTAAATGCGTATTGACAGTAATCCAGGAGGGCTGGAAATAGATGTTAAAACAATATAATTAGTATTTGGCTTTATTTCCAATGATTTCTTTTGATTTCCTAGGCTGTAACAGTACGGAATTCCATGGCCAAATCATTGTACAGCGCCCTGTTTGATTGGATCGTGTTTCGAATTAACCATGCACTTTTGAATACCAAGGACTTGGAAGAAAGCACCAAGGTATGTCTTTTTCAAGAAAGTTCGGTCTATAGTTGACTCAGCTGACTTAGGTTTCAGGCTGGTTAAGCACACTATCACAGAGAAGCAGCATTTTTAGAGAACCAAAGATCCATTTGAGCATTTCCCCTTAAAATATAAAACAGAAACAATCACACATAAGCTCATTTACCTTTTGGAGAGGGTAAATGACCTGACAGCTGAAAGTTAAGGTTGAAAATAAACCAGAGATTAAATTGTGAGTTGTTTATTATTTGTAAGTTGTTTCATCTAAAAAAAAAAAGCAGCTTACAATTTAAAAATTACCCACTTAACAGTTGAATTGCCATCCACTCTGTGGCAAAATCTCATTGACATAGAGCTAATTGTTGATACAGGAAGCAAAATGTCCCCATAGAACAGAGGTGGGGAACGACGGCCCTTTTATGACTTGTGGACTTCAACTCCCAGAATTCATGGCTGGCTCAGGAACTCTGGGAGTTGAAGCCCACAAGTCATAAAGAGGCCATCATCCCCCCTTCCCACCCCCCCATAGAGGATCCTTCTTATGCATTGTTTTCATGAATACACCATGCGATCGAAAACTGGATGACCTGTCCACTTGGGGCAACTGTCTGATAATACATTATATATTCTGGAAGGATTTCACACACTGCCTTTTGTATACACACAACTTTTATAGCATTAGGTGCAGTGATGGCCTTGAGGGAAGGGAAAGACTGCCTTCCATACGGAAGCCTGTTCTGGTATAAAGCCACCAATCCAGCCCAGTCTCTTCCTGGGCTAAATAACGTAGATCACTTTGTGCCTCAGTGATTACTGTTTGCTGAGCGTGGTTTGAATTATTGACATAGGATTAATTCCTCCATTTTCTCCAGTTTTATTTGAAAGATTGCAGTAATTATTCTCAGATGTCATAAGACTGTAAGCTCACAATGTTCTTTCACCGTTCACTGTTTAATGCGGAGTTTTTCTGCCTATACCAATTCAGCTGGGGTTATGCACTTAATGCTCCCCAAGCAGATAACTACAACGTTCGGCACTTAACAGACGGCAAATAAATCCCAACTGCTCAAATTTAGGACAGATCATTGTTCAGACTTAATATAAAACTTGCTTATATAATGCCGATGAACTTCTGTGCCACAGAAACCCGCTGCTTTGCAGAATAAATTCTATATAGTATGTGCTGGTTTAATTTTCTTGTTATAGAAGCTTTTATTGCACAGCAAAACATTTAGGTTTTTTTCACTCCTCCCACCCAGTTGCTTTTCTCTTTTTTAAAAAGCTTTAATAAAATCTGTGGCACAAAATTAGCAGTATTTTTTTTACTCTATTATATCTACATTTTTACATTAAAAGCTTACACGCAGATGATGAGAACTTTTGCCTTTTTTGGGTGTTTAATTCATATACATTCTTTTGCACCAGTATGTGCTTGCACCTTTATAAGACAGAGAAGCTCACTTTTTAAAAAGCTTCTCTCTTTCTCCAGCCGAATGCATGGACATGTGCAAAAACGTTCTAAATTAATTTGTTGTTGTTTTAACCACTTAGTTGTGTCTATAAAGTTGGCGACTTTATAGGCAAGTGCTCTCCGTGCTAATTAATTACTCAGAAAATAAATCTAAAGAATTTTATTTGATTCCAAAAGACTAGACTAGAAATAGCAAAGAGCTCAGCCTTAAAACCTGGAAATGTGATTGTTTGGGAATTAAATAATGTTAAAAGCTTTTGAACATCATAGTAGTGTATGATTTTTGTGCTCAGTACAAGTCCTACAGTAGCTTGTCTTGGAAAATATCTATGGCATTTATCATTTTATTTAAATTTTACTCTGGGTGAAAATAGCTCCTGGGATTAGTAAGGCCTCCACCTATTAGCTATTAACCACCTATCTAGTGGAGTATGCTTCCTGGTAATTGCAGTTTCTCTGAGAAGTAGGTTAAAAGGCGTCATGCCAGAAATAATATGGGGAGAGGGAGAGGTCTAGTAATTAGTGATATATTTTATTCTGGCCTGCACTTTCTTTCAAGATCAGTTAAAGCGCATGGTCTACAGTGCTGAGGTTCAAAGAACGGCATAGGGCTACCGTATGATGGATGGAAAGCTTAGGTTGGAATCTTCGACCTTTTCCAAAGAACGGAGGCACTGACTTAATGGTTGCAAATGCCACAGCAACCTTTTTATTACATGACCCCGGAAGTTCAAGTATTAAATGCAGAATATCTGTTTTCTTTGTCTTGCAGACTTTGTCCATTGGAGTACTTGATATTTTTGGTTTTGAAGATTATGAAAGTAATAGTTTTGAACAATTTTGCATTAATTTTGCAAATGAACGTTTACAGCACTATTTTAACCAGCATATCTTTAAACTGGAGCAAGTAAGCCTGGAAAAAAAACTATTTTTATTTTTGTATGATTGTTTCCCATAATGTAACTTAACTATATTCCCCTTCCTTTTACTGTAACAACTTGAACCTCAAGATGATACAGTTCCTTGATCTCAACATTCCTACCGCTTTTTCCCTTTTCAATAGCTCTTCTTCTCAGTTAGGATTAAAACCTAAGAGATCCTATATCTTTTGTTCCTTCAGTCCTTTGGAAAATGAAACAGTCAGCAAGACTACTGAGGGACTTGTGGGGCCTTGCATTCTTGGGCAAGTTAGTTTTCCAAAAGATGCCCGCATAATTAAACGTCTCCCATTATATGAGGGAATGTTGGGTTGACTCAGAGAAGGAGGAGGAGAATGCCAAGCCAATGCAGAAAGGATCTTTGAGTCCTGAGGAAAAAAAAGAAACAGTGAGAAAAAGATTTAAAACAAGCCTATCTTTATTGTGTTAGACGTAAGCTTGAAGTAAGAGGGACTGTGATAGGCTTTCAGGATTATATTATAATAGCCCAACTGCATTAAAGTACATTCCAAGACTCCTATTTCCTGGCTACCTTGAAAGGCGAATACATTATTATTATGTCTCTCCTCCCAAAATTCCTATAAGCAGTCCAAGAATGTATTTTCCACATCTGCTTGGCTTCAAAGTCAGTAGCACATGCCACAGAAATATCATTGACTGGCCTTCAAATATAGGCTTGCTCAGTCTTAACAGCAGGTGGGCTGATTTTTCCCTGCATAGAATATGGACGGGCAACTTGAAATCCAAAGACCACATGGCTACATCTGGAGCAGCCAAGAGCTTCTCACTGGCAGGCTTTGCCACACGATGAGCTAGCCCAGTGATGGCGAACCTTTTAGAGACCGAGTGCCCAAGTTGTAACGCAAAACCCATTTATGCATCGTCGGGTGCCGGGTGGGTGTGGCCCATTGGCTGGGCGTGGCCCATTGGCTGGGTGTGGCTGTGGTGGTAACGGCAGACTGGGTGGGACTAAAAAGTGCAATCAATCAATTCCAACTTTGCAAGATCTTTTTTTCCCCGCGAGAAATTGACTGATTGATTGAAATTGACTGATTGATTGAACCTTTTTTTTTTTTTGTACACGGCGGCGGAGGCCTAAAGCGAATAGGTTTTATAAAACCCAGCTGAAGGCCTAGGACTGGGGCGACGGCGCGCGTGCCCACAGAGAGGGCTCTGAGTGCCACCTCTGGCACCCGTGCCATAGGTTCACCACCACTGAGCTAGCCAATGAGAGATGGATTAATGCAGGGGTGTCCAACCTCACCAACGTTAAGTTCATAGACTTCCAACTCCCAGAATTCCCTAGCCAGCAGTTGAAGTTCACCGGTCTTAAAGTTGCCAAGCTGGATCCCCCTGTCCATGTTCATGTGTTTCTGTGGCCATTCGCGACCAGAACTAAATTACATTTTAGTCAACTAGGAGCAGCAATTAGCCTATAATCTGCAGTTATATAGAAATATGGGACAGGCAGGGAAAGAGTACACGTGAAGGTACATGAATATATGGGGGGAGGGGGGCTTCCAATACCAGATCCAAATGTATGTGACCTGGAGGTCAAAATGTCTGTGACTAGTTTGTTTTACAGTTGCTTGGATTGTAGACTTAATTTATTTTTTTCCCAAACACCAGGAGGAATACAGACTGGAAGGCATCAGCTGGCACAACATAGACTATATCGACAACTCTGGCTGTATAAACCTCATCAGTAAAAAGCCCACAGGGTTGCTCCATCTACTGGATGAAGAAAGCAAGTGAGTCTTCTCCCTCCCAGCTTTGTAGTTATCAGAGGCTAGATGTTGGAAGTGAGTCACAGCATAAAAGGAGAAAATAAAATAAGAAACATTTGCATGTTTGAAAGCTATCTGTATGGTAAGATAGGCAGATTCGTTTGATCAGACTAATTGTATGGGGTCAGAGCAGGACCATTCGTTTATCTGTATAGGACAGGGATAGGCAACCTTGGCTCTTTTATGACTTGTGGACTTCAACTCCCAGAATTCCTAAGCCAGCCATGCTGAGGGGAAAGGGAGAGGTTTCCATACTGAGCCATGCTGGCTCAGGAATTCTGGGAGTTGAAGTCCACGAGTCATAAAAGAGCCAAGGTTGTCTACCCCTGGTATAAGACAATTCAGAGCCGGGACAAAACATTTCAACACAAACTGTTTCAACTCTGGGTACCGGTCTGCTTCTAGAATTATAACTTATTGAGCTGGGTTTTTTCCAACTATATATAATTGCCAAGGTGAAATAGAAATGGCATTTCCTACACTGATTCAAAGTACAGAGCATCCAAGGATAGCCTAGCTATGTTTGTGCTGGAGATTTAAAAAAAAAATCCCATAAAATAACATAAATTGAGTAATTAAATAAGTCGCGATTCACTGCCCTTCCATGAAACTTAAACATTATTGCCCTGTTGGATTTGACTCTTTTTCCTTGATTAGAATCAAAGATAAAACTAACAGTGGCAATTTTTCCCCATATGTCACGTTTGTAGTGAGGCTTGAATAACACAGCCTAGCTAGGGTGGAACATTTATGAGGTTATGTGTATGGACTAGTGTTTCTCAACCTTGGCTACTTTAAGATGCTGACTGGGGAATTCTGGGAAATGAAGTCTACACATTTTAAAATGGCCAAGATTGAGAAACACTGGTGTAGACTAGTGGGGAATGAGCCCCCCAAGGGAAAATACTGAGTTAAAAATAAGTGTTGCAATTGTAAAAAAAAAATAGCTTGAATAAATGAATTATTTTTTTTACTTGCTAACAGTTAGAGGCCTCAGGGATTCTTTTCTTTATAATAAAATTGTGTTCAATTTACACAAATGTCTACAAAGTTGGTCCAAAGTATTAGAAGACCACTGTGCAGTGGCTAAAATGATGCTATCTTGGAACCATTTTCCTGTTTTTTTCATGGGAAAATTATATTCTTTAGTTGGATTTGGGAACAAAATTAGTTTAATTCATGAAAACATCTTACTCTCTATAAAAATATTATTTAGTGTAGTGTTGTATTAGTGTAGTATTTTCCAAAATACTAATTAATTTAGGACCAGAATAGAGTAAATGAAATTGGAACTTTCAGAAGAATACGCCCCTTTTTATGATAGTTATGATTTGGATTATGTATCAGCGAAAAACATTAATGTTCCTCTTTTATTTCAGTTTCCCACAAGCAACCAATCAGACGTTACTAGACAAGTTTAAGCGTCAGCATGAAGGGAATCTCTACATAGAATTTCCTGCTGTAATGGAACCTGCCTTTATCATAAAACACTATGCTGGGAAAGTTAAATATGGCGTGAAGGTCTGTAACTTCATCTCTGCTAACAATTTATTTTAAAATATATATTAATCCCTTTGGTTAACACCTAAAAATCACAATAATGCCTAGAGATTTCCATACTGATCCAAAAAGTGCTAGTTTAGCACTTGGATGATAGAAACGTTGTTTTAATTATTACAAGTTTTCAATTTGTATTTGTTCTGTCTTTCTATACCACCTGGCCTTATGAAACGTATAAAATACATTTTATACAATATCACTTGTTGTCTTTCTCCTGCTTCAGTGTTTCTCAACCTTGGTCACTTTAAGAAATGAGAACTTCAGCTCTCAGAATTCTCCAGCCTGGCTGAGGAATTCAACTTCCAGAATTTGAAGTACACGCATCTTAAAGTGACCAAGGATGAGAAACCTCGTCCTGCTTTATTCCCTATTTAACATTATATTTGATTTCTTGTCCTTGTTTTTGGCTTGAACGAGACTGCTCCATATTAGAATGTGAGCATGGGAAGATACGGCTAGAAAATCTAGGGTCTTAGTTGAGCCTATCTGCAATAGCAAGAGCACACATCCTTCTTCCAATTTGGAGATGGCAGAATCTGAACCTTTTTCCTGCAAAGCTTGTATTTGACCACTGAGCTAATTATCCTCAGTAAACAATTATAAGAGTTGGTTGAAGACACGGGAGCTTGATAGGGACATACTGAGAAAACACTCTTGATCTTGAAATGAGTTTAGATCTCGAGAGTCACCACTTAAGAAAAGTGATGATCTCCTTCATTTTCGTTATTTATTTATTAAATTTATATGCTGCCTCTTTGGCCGTTTGAGGCCACTCTTCATCGGGTATGTTCAAGCAGAGGTTGAAGAGGTATCTGTTGGGAAGCTTTAAAGTAGATTTCAGAACAAAGCAAAAGATTTAATTCAGTGGCCTGAATTACCTCTTACAATTCTAAGATTGTTTAAAAAAAAAATCAGGCAAGATCAGAAGAGCTTAATATTTGAACAGTTCCAGTGGGAGACTTGTGGGACGTTCCAAGATAGTACAATAGACTAAGACAGAGGTAGGCAACCTTGGCTCTTTTATGACTCGTGGACTTCAATTCCCACAATTCCTGAGCCAGCATGGGGAAAACTTTGGTCCTTTCATGACTCATGGACTTCAACTCCCAGAATTCCTGAGCCAGCATGGTTCAGCTTGGAAACCTCTCCCTTTCCCCTCAGCATGGCTGGCTCAGGAATTCTGGCAGTTGAAGTCCACGAGTCATAAAAGAGCCAAGGTTGCCTACCTGGCCTAGGCCTAGGCCGCTTTATGACTCGTGAACTTCAACTCCCAGAATTCCTGAGCCAGCATGGCTCAGCTTGGAAACCTCTCCCTTTCCCCTCAGCATGGCTGGCTCAGGAATTCTGGGAGTTGAAGTCCACGAGTCATAAAAGAGCCAAGGTTGTCTACCCCTGGACTAAGAAGTAAAAAAAAAAAAAAAGTTCTGAAAATACTATTTAAAATAGTTAAGGAAAATAATAAGACTGTGCTAAGCACTGCTTCTCTTCTTCTTTCTCGTCAGGACTTCCGGGAGAAAAACACAGATCATATGCGACCTGACATTGTTGCTCTCCTAAAGAGCAGCAAGAGTGCCTTTATCTGTGGAATGATAGGGATCGATCCGGTTTCTGTGTTTCGCTGGGCTGTCCTCAGAGCGTTCTTCAGAGCTGTGGTTGCCTTTAGAGCTGCTGGTCAGAAGTACATTGAGAAAAAAACGGGTACGTATCAAGCGAGATAGGCAGCATATCAATTTAACAAACAAATATTGCATTCTGGTCTCAAAAGCGGCCATCCTTGGATTCTTTGTAGATGCTATATTTTTTTTGAGCAATTTCTATCTTCCAGTCTGCTACTTGAAGAAATAGTCAAAAGAATCTTTAAAACATATATTAAAAAGATTCCAAAGATTTTGGCATAAGAAAAAGGAAAAGCATGTTATAAAGTCTAAAAATATAAGATCATAAATATTCAGGGTGATTTTTGAGTGTCGTTGTTGAGAAGTACAATGTGCAGAGGATGTTTCAAGCTCTAGAATAGTGATGTTAGATTTAATTCATTAGGGTGTTATTTGGTTTAAATTTATTGTTTATTTATTACTATTAGAACAGCCAATTGTTTGTTTAATTTGTTTGTACCAACTGTTTGTTTATTGTTTCCTAGAAAGTTTGCTGGCTACTGTGAACTTGAGTATAGCTATATCCTTTCTCAAGTTTTCTAGAAAACTCCACTTGTAATCTTTAAAAAGTCAATTTGTAGCCCCATATAGACAAATATTTTTATTAGATGAATGGGGGAGAAAATTCAGAAACTAATTTTTGTCAATGATTTAGGATGGTTAAGATTTAAACTGTACTTTCTCCTATGTAAGCAAATTGATAAGCGATGTTTTTTTTTCTTTTCAAAGTTGAAATCTAGTTTGAAACAAATGTAGTTGTTTTAAAAATTGGCACTTGGAGAGGATCACACAGGATGCACAGAAATCCCTTTGCATTGTATGGTTAGAATATGTAAACATTTACACAAAAGAGAATGTTTCAAATAAATCTCTGGCATTTCCATAAACTTCATAGAATACAAATTTCGCGAGTATGCTTATAAATTGTATGTAGTAAAGTCTAGCAGTTGTTAATTTGGAAACAGAGTAAATACGTTCTTGCATGAACATCTGGTGTTCTTTTTAATAAGTTTCACTTCTGACAAGCATGTGTTGTTTGCCAGTCATGTTTAAGAAACCATTGTTACAGAAAAGCTTTGTAGCAGAGGGGTCTATGGGCTCAAAAATCAAGAATAAGGGCTTTGCACTACTTTCACATCAGGATAAATATTAATGTACACAAAGTAGTTGTTTTGTTGTGAGGATTTGCTGGGAAACTGTAACTGACCCAAATTTCTTGATGTGAGTCCAACTAGTAACACTGAGTTTCTTCCTTACAAGTAATGGCATTCATGTTTTGTAGCTGTGTTCTCTTAACAAGAATTTTGGTAAGAGAAATGTCATATGAGAAACATTACTGATTCTCATTAGTAGAAGGTACTAATGGTTCCCTAGCCAATTATTTCCAATTTCTTATTTCTGACATGTGTTCAGAAGATGTTGCCTTCAACTATTGCGAGTGGACACAGGTTATTTCAGCATAAGTTACAAAGTTTTGCTTTGAAGCCATACAAAACCAGTCAGTCCATCTGCAGCTCTAGCAAGGCAAATTCCTTGCTAAATATTGTATGCCACAAAGTTATTTACTTCCTCCGTTTCATTTTTTTTCTTATTGTCACATGCACCAAACTAAGGGATGTAAAAGTAGCAAAAAAGGATATAACTTTTATGGTAGATTTTTCCCCTTTCTTATGTTTTTATTTTCCTTTTTTGGCACTGGTCACCGGTCACGATTAAGTTTGTTCTGATTTTATCAAATAATGCAATATAAGGAAAGAGTTCCAATGAATAGATACTATGTTTCATAAGGAAAAAAAACACTGGATGTGCTCTTTAAAATGTGAATTGTCACTTACTAATTATTACCTTGATCACAGAGGAACTTATCAGTTATGCTCCTCTCCTGTGGTTTTCTTATGCTAAGAACTTCTCTTTTTTTAATCTTTATATATAAAATTTAATACCAAAATATATCTTGATGAAAGTGGCTTTAGGAAAGAAAAACAGTTTTAGAAAGGAGGTAGTTCTCAATACAGAAGAGGCAAAGAATTCTTAATTTTTTTTTAATGCTTTCCTTGCCTGCTACTTTTCCTTTGAAAATTCCCTTCCTTCTAGAATTCATATGTTTGGGATTGGATGTGTAAGTGGATATTCTATAAAGCTGTATCGAAATGTAAAGGAATTCTTAATGATATGCATGCATCTTCTCCATTAAAAAGAGCCCGTCTGCAGGTTTTCCCCCCTGGAACCAGCAGCTCTTGAAATAGATGGGGTTTTTATATAGAGTACATAGGCATTATATAGCATACATAGGAAAAACCTCTCTCCACGGAACCGGTCCCTGCTGCTCAAAAGACTGGGGGCTTCTGATCTGAGGGGTCTAAGCACAGTTGAGATAACTTGATTTTAGTTCTTGAACCTGACCTTCCGATACGAATATTCTGTATGCTGTTTTTACTGTACATTTCTCCTCTTCCTCCTCCTTCACAAAAGATGTATATATCTGGTTTTAGATTGTGTCAATTGATGTACATTATCTCAAGGTTTAAAAGATTGCCTCAAGGCTTTTTTAAATTTTCCTCTAAAATCTACCTAAGGTAATTTAGACCACAGACGGGAAGTATCTCATGCCCATGTCTGGTTTTCATGTTATTGTTGTTGCTGTTCAGTGTGCACTTGTGAAAACAGATTTGGGTTGAAATATTAATATTAATTTGCAATGCTGCTTCTGAAGTACTTGTGTTCCTATAGCATCCTTTTTCCTATTTGTGCATTTGTGGTAAAATCTGAGAATATAGAATCAGTCATATGTTATTGTCAGCAATGTGCTTAATCCACTGAGTTTGTAAATAATATCGTATATTATATTGGCAGGTTGTGCCTTGATAGCTGAAGGTAATTTTTTCCACCTTATTTTCTATTCAGAAAAGCAATCCATGAAAATCTAATGATTTCTTAAATAAGAAAGTCAAATTCCAAGATGAATATCAGATGATTAATTCCATAATCACCAACTTTCAAGATTTATAATGATTACAATATATTTAAAAATCACAGGTTTGGACATGATTAGCACCTCTGGGATGTCTCTGGTCTGGAATCATCTTCTTTTTAAATCTTTTTGTCTTCAGCGTTTTGTCAGCATCATGCAACTATTGTCTTTGGCATTTGGTTTGTCTTTCTCTTCTGGGCTGTTTTTGTGCTGCTCCAGTGTTTCTGCCAGTTCAGATCTAAAGACAAGAGCTGGATCTACATCCACGCTACACCACAAATGGCTGTTTCTGCCTTTATTGGGTTATGTATTCTACCCATTGTAGCAGGGGTCCTCAACCTTGGCAATTTTTAAGACTTGTGGATTTCAACTCCCAGAATTTCTCAGCCAGCAATGCTGGAGTTGAAGTCCACAAATCTTAAAGTTGCCAAGGTTGAGGACCCCTGCATTATAGTTTGTAACTTAAAGTGATGTGTGAATCCGACTAGTGATTTAACCAAGAAAAAGAAAACTGCTGGAATTAGTACCATCAGTTGCCATTTCCAAATGATATGAATTAAAGAGGGCTATCTTGAAATACATGATCAAGTATGCAGGATGAATTTACAATAATCGTGTCAGAGATGGCCAATTTGGTGGAGTGGTTAAAAGTGCCAGACTACAAACCAGGGATCTCTTAAGTACTAGTCCTGTCTTAGGCACAAAACCAGCTGGATGACTTTGGGATAGTGTTAATCTCAGTCTCTCTCTCTCTCAGTCCCTCCCTCCCTCTCTCTCTCTCTCTCTCTCCCCCCCCCCCACTAGAAGAAGGTAGCAATGGCAAACTAATTTCAAAAACGTTGCCAAGAAAACTATGGGATTGTCAAGGCAGACTCAAGGCAATCTAAATTAGCTTTGTAGACTTCAAGATAGTCAACATAAATGCCTTCAAAGCTCGTAACATGCACAGTACCAGCACTTTTGGAATCCTTTCTGCTTCATGTGAGAATTATATACTTCTGTATACTAGAAGTATATACTATATACTTTATATACTAATTATATAAAAGCCAGTCTTATTTTAGCTGTACTGAAGGAATTTCAGTTTGTCTCCCTGGCTACCATTTGATCTACTGCTTCCAGCCTGCATAGGTTCGCCTTTTGAGTCCTACCTGAAGGATTTCTTGCAGATAAGGCACGCAGTTAAAATTGGTCTAACGTTTTATATCTCAGCTGCAAAAATTTGACATTTCCAGCTTAGAATTATAAGCTCATTGAATATGATTCTTGCAAGTCAAGCATGAGCAGACAATCTGTAATTGGAATTGGTGGGTTTGTGGCTAAAAGCTCCATGTGTTAAAGAGCACTGTGGAAATGTATAATTGGTTTTGATCGCCCAAAATTGATGCATTTATACCTGATGCTTAACCCCTTTTAAGCATCAGGATATATGATATACAGATATTTGATTAAAACTTTTAACAAAATACACGTTACAATGTGCAGCTCTCTTTCAATGTCATTTATAGCTTATGAAAACTGCCTAGGTCAGGTTAAGCCACTCCAGCTACAGTGTTACCTTTTCTGTACTTAAAATTATACTTGAAAGACTCTAGGGCAGGGGTGTCCAACCTTGACAACATTAAGATTTGTGGACTTCAACTCCCAGAATGTTGGGAGTTGAAGTCCACAGGTCTTCACAACGCCAAGGTTGGACACCCCTTCTCTAGGGTTTATTTCTTCAATAAGTAACACGCTTTGTCCATTCACCAGAACTGCTTGAAACAGTAAAAGGGCAGAATGGAGCTATGAGTTTTGAAACAGTCTGTGTCAGTCAGGCATTGTCCGCGCTTGTTCTTGACTCTTCTTTGGTTTCTGCTTATGTAATCTTTCTCTTTTTTTCCATGTTTTTGTTTTGCTTCCCGAAGGGCATGATGATGCGGTTTTGAAAAATGTGGATAGTTTTAGCTTTCTCCATCACCCAGTTCATCAGAGGAGCTTAGAGATTCTACAGAGATGCAAGGAGGAGAAGTACAGTAAGGCGCCATATACCACCATCTCTCTGACATGACACTCACACACAGCAGGAAATGGAAACCAGGAGCAGACTGTGTTAGTGAGGATGGGCCGTGCTCAGAATGACCTAACACAGCAGACCTTAAATGGTGTGAAATGATAAACCAAGGAGAATTTGGAAGGTAGTTTTAGAATCAAGGAATTTCTAGGCAAGGTGAGCATTAGAGAGTAGCTGTGGATGCCCTGAACCATACCTTAATTGCAAACCCATCTGCAAGTATTTGAACCATTTGGTCAAAGTAATTATTGATTATTTCCCAGAGTTTCCAGAGATTGGCTCAAAATTCTTCTATAGCTGCGGCCTTTAGAGTAAAAGAAGGAGATGCTAAAGGAAGAATTTGCTGAAAGGCATTAAATCTGTATATATATATTTATATAGCCAGAATCTTTTAGCAGAATCTGACCATATTTTCATTCCCCTTTTCCCCCCTTTTATACAATAACATTTACCTAGGATTGAACAGCTTTAGTACAGCTTACGTGAAACCGGTAAGCTGTCACGAGAACTCCTTTTATTCTAGAGAGTGGCAAAGATGCCCTTGGTCTCCATTTCCTTCTCCTCACTTCTGTATGTTACATAATGAACTAGTCCTGCATGAAAACCAGGCCCCCCTTGCCTTTGTTACTAATGATGGCTGGATTCCTGTTGTGGGAGGAGAAGGGGTCCAGCAGCATGAAACATAACCCCCTCTGCCATAAAAGAGTAGCGCATGGTGTTTCAGTGTATCAGCTACATTGGCAGCCTACCGAAGGGGCACCATGGCGCTAACTTGCTCATTAAGCAGCTTTGCATACGCCATCGCAAGATGACTTCATTTGAATGACCGTCTGCCTCACCGCTGCTCTTCAGAAAGGGGCGGCTAGATTTTATATCCAAGGTGTATAGGAGCAAATGCAGATATATATTTTTTTGGTCAATTGTTCCAGAAAGCCTATTATTGGTTTCCTTTCCTTCTTTGAGTATAAAGGTTGGTAGCAAATGACATATCGCTGTTTATATTAATAAAGAAAATGCCTGTCTCTCATGTATATCTTGAATATATCCTGGAGTGCCATCTCCCGCAAAGATGGGTGTTCTGTGTGAAGGTGATGTAGATGGTAAGTCTTGATGTAGGAGGATTTCTTTGCAACAGGAGAGTAATTTTAGGGGTTTATATAACCTTTTCTGACTGTGTTTCTAATTCGAAAATGCATCTGAATAAAACTGCATAAGAATTGGTCTGCTAGTCCCTATAAAAAGTCCCTCTAATCCAGGGGTCCTCAACCTTGGCAACTTTAAGACTTGTGGACTTCAACTCCCAGAATTCCTCAGCCAGACCCCTGATCTAATCCAACATGGAGACTTGAAGCCAACAACCGGGTTATGTTTTTTTTTTGTATTTAATATTAAATAAAATAAAATGTAAAGAGACCCAGTTATCATTATGGTAAATAGCTATTGATCAAACTATTCATGAAAGTAAACCAAGCATCAGAGTTGGTAGCTGTTGCCTTATGGTACAATAACAAAATCTAGCAAGTTGTACAGTATTTAATCTGAAAATGTACTTGTTTATCGTCCAGGTCTACTCCTAATTAAGCATTGAATTCTAGGGCTCAAGATGGAAACTTTATCACGTTTCACGCTGTTCAAAATCTTGAAAAGAAAATTATGTTGTCACCCCATTTATCATTTTTTTTCCCTGAGCCAGAAATTCCTAGTTACATTAAATCAGTGGTGGCGAACCTATGGCACGGGTGCCAGAGGCGGCACTCAGAGCCCTCTCTGGGGGCATGCGTGCCGTCGCCCCAGTCCTAGGCCTTCAGCTGGGTTTTATAAAACCTTTTCGCTTTAAGCCTCTGCCATCATGTGCAAAAAAAAAAGGTTCAATCAATCAGTCAATTTCAACTTCTGGGAAAAAAAAAAGATCTTGCAAAGTTGGAATTGATTGATTGAACTTTTTAGCCCCACCCAGTCTGCCGTTACCACCGCAGCCACACCCACCCAATGGGCCATGCCCACCCAATGGGCTTGGCACCCGACAGATGCATAAGTGGGTTTTGGGTTGCAGTTTGGGTACTCGGTCTCGAAAAGGTTCGCCATCACTGCCTTAGCTCTTAGTCTTCTCCAGCCTGATGTCCTTCCACCCTATTCCCCATCATTTTGACAATAGCCCATGCAGTAAAGGTTTTAGTTCTGCAGGCCTAGAGGGATGAGAGTTGTTGGGAGGGTACCAATTTGGAGACTTCTTCCATTGCTTTTTACTTATGCTGATTCTATGGCATCCTTTTTTGAGGTCAAGCAACCAAAATTCTATACTTATTGTATAACAACATTAAAATATTGTCTGGGTGACTCTGTTTTTGTACTTACACTGAGGTTCAGTGGTTTTGATACAATACTCAAGTTTTCTAAAGCTTACTGTAACCATTGCATTTTTCTGTTAAGTAAAATTATCTGCTTTCTGCCAAGCTATGAAGTTTGCAGTTTACTTCCTAGATTACAGAAAATTGGCTTTCCATGTGGGTAAACGCATAATGAAATAAATTATGATTGGCATAATCTGAGAAGTTGCTACTCTTTGTTCCTCTGAATATACCTATGACTTGCTTAGGCTTTTACTGCTTTGGAATAATCACACGTCTTCTGCAGACTTAGCTGTATCGTTACCAATTTCAGATTAACGGACCCAGCATAGATATTTGCAGAGATCTTCCTTTTTGTTTTGTCCATCTAATCTCTTCTGGCTCTCTGTTAATAGACACAGATTAATAAGAGAATTTGGCCCTTAACTCCTGATTTTGAATTTTCTTACAGCCTATTAGTAATCTCCTTCATTAAAGTGTGCATGAACTATATTATTCATGCATTAGATCAGGGATCCCCATCATCTGGGCTGCAGCCCACTAATGGGCCGTGAGCTGTTTGCAACCAGGCTGCAGAAACGGGCGACCATATGCACGTGCATCCCACTTGCACAAGCAGTAAGTGAACACATGCACACATGCTCCATTTGCGTGAGAGGCGGGCGCGCATGGACCTTGCTCGCGCAAATGGAGCTGCATGCGTGCGTGTGCTTGCCGGCCACTCACATGGAACAATCCCCTCCCCCCCCCCAATCGGTCCACAAAGCCAGAAAGGCTGGAGACCTCTGCATTAGACTATACATGTTGGTTTAAATTCAAAAACTAAACTAAAAAAACTAAAGGCTACAAAGGAAAAGTGAATTCATTTTAAGGTGTGGAAGTGACTACTCCCTAAGAAAATTAGTTTTACTATGTTGGTTTACTTAGATGAGTACAATAAGATTTAAACCTAATGTGTTAGTTTGTTGACTCATTTCATGTAATAATACGTTTTTGATTATCACAGACAGATTTATAACTTTTCAGTTGGAATTGTTACTAATGAAAAGCTTGAGTCAGAGAAAACAGTTACAGCTCTGTCTCAGGGTTTTGTTTTGCTCTTCTTCTCCAGATCTTTGTAGTAAAAAAATAAGCAGTAATATTTGGCTGGGGGAAAAAAAATCCATTTCAGTTGATAGTTGTAAGTCCTGTCCCATTTTACATATTAGCTAATTTATTTTGAGAGCAAAAAAAAAGCTGTATGAAATTCACTGATTCTCAAAATTACAATCTTTTTAATATCAGGAAACTCTTATAGCAACAAAACCTGAAAATAACAGTAATTGTTATTGTAGAGTGTGTGTGTGGGGGGGGGTATTCTAAACATGTAATTCATAGAAGAGTAAATTAGTGGCACTGCTGCAACAATTGTTGTCTAGAAATCTTTATAGCAACTGTGTCTTTTCCCAAATGCTCTGCAGCTATTATATGATCCCTTGAAAACACACAGTTACTTTAGAGTTACAGACAGAGTCTGCGTTAGGCCTCTGTAAACACCTTTATGGAATGTTTATTTGCTTTTTATATTTATATGTAATATAAATATCTATCTCCCTTTTTCTCCCTGTGCTGTTTACCTTTTCTTTTTTATATTCGTCATACTTTGTATTAGCTTTTTATCTTTGTATTTTGAAACTTCAATTAAAAGTATTATTTTAAAAAGAAAGTGAAATTCTGTTCAGCCTGTGAACTAGACTAGTACCACAGTTATGAAGGCTTTCTTAAAGTCATGAAATGAATTCACGTTGGAAGTGAAATATGAATAGAAGCTTGTGGTTTTGTGGTCAGAGGAACAATTACCAAACACATTCAGATTGTTAGTGTAAGCTTTCGGATTATAAAAAAGCATTAGCCATTCTAAAGCACAGAGTACAATATTTTTAGACCAAGGACAAAGGCTTTTAGACTGGAATAAGTGCAATCTTTTATCGGTTATTGATCAAGCAGATCTCCATAGAGATTTTGCTTCAGGCATAAGTGGAGAGACCAAAAATAGCGGAACGTGCTTGTTAGACTCTGGTTGCTAAGGCCATGCACCAGCTATGAATCATAGCATATTTAAAAAAAATTGCTATTATTCGTAGCAGTCAGAGGCTTCATTTTGCAAAAAGTTATTACGGCCATACGTTCTGTATTTCCCACATGATTAACAAATAATTGGGAGAGTGAAACAATTTTCAGATATTCTGAACCTGGTTAGGAACTTTTTAAAAATAAATTCTAACTTGTACCTAGAGCCCTGGTGTCACAGAATGCAGTTGTTATTGTTAGTTGCGAAGTCGTGTCCGACCCATCGCAACCCCATGGACAACGTTCCTCCAGGCTTTCCTGTCCTCTACCATCTTCTGGAGTCCATTTAAGCTCACGCCTCCTGCTTCAGTGACTCCATCCAGCCACCTCATTCTCTGTCATCCCCTTCTTCTATTGCCCTCAATCTTTCCCAGCATTAGGCTCTTCTCCAGTGAGTCCTTCCTTCTCATTAGGTGGCCAAAGTACTTGAGTTTCAACTTCAGGATCTGGCCTTCTAAAGAGAAGCCAGGGTTGATCTCCTCTAGGACTGACTGGTTTGA